TACGTTTGTATGGATCTTTGTTACTCTTTCACCTAAAAAATACTGAATGGATTTTAATGAAACTTAACAGTAATATAGCTCATATATGATAATTACATATATATAATAATTTATGTAGTTATTGAGTGAATTGGCCAATATATAACAATAAGTGTCACATAAGACGGAAAAAAATCTCCCATCTGCGAGTCATTTTGGCCTGCACTGCAAAAACAATAAAAGTTACATGATTGTAATGTAGAGTAAAAATGTATCTCTTAAATAGTTCTAAAAAAAGTTTTTAATGTGTAAGTCATTACCGCTAAAATAGTGAATCAAAACTAAAATATTATTTGATATCTATTTCCAAAATGCACATTTTGTATTAACAAATCATTTTTTATCAAAACAAATACTTTTATCGCTTTTGATATTTAAAGACGATAAACTTTGCTTTGTACACTATGTCATTTCGACAAATATTTAAAAAGTTACAACGATGACAAAGTGATAGCGCGGTGTACTATGTAAAAGAAAAAAAATGGGGTATTCGCAGTATCTGATCCTATACGAAGTACTAACAATAAAAATGTGATACAGTTCCTTCTTATTAAATGATGAAAAATATATTATTACAATAAGTATTTATGATTATTGAATTTAATGAAAAACTCACAATTTTACTCTTTTTCATTCTTTTAACGATATTACTTAATGTTACAAAAAAGGTTTACTTTAATATAATGACAAATAACCCATTTTTCGCTAGTAAGTACATACTTATTGGAATCCCTGTATTTATTAATCAGCTCGCGATAATATTGGTTTTGTAATAATTCTGCAAAATTCAAAGTAAATAATGTAGATTTTTATAGGTAAATCACCCCTTTCAATACCCTACGCCTATAAGTATTGCGATGTTGTAGCTAAGAACCAAGTTCCTATCTACTTCTATAATGGAATTCATTATATTCGATTTAGCTATTAGGGCACGGAAGCGCAACAAACAAACTCACTTTCGCATCTATAATATTATATTATACTTACTAGTGATCCACCCGGGCATTATACGGACGAAATTTATTTATCGGGATAAAATATAGCCTATGTCACTCGGACAAAATGTCTTTAAATAAAGAAAAATGTTATAATAAATAACGTAGCTACCTTATGATGAATTAATATTTGAAACCGGTTCAGTAGTTTGACAGATTATTTGTTACAAACATACAAATCTTGCCTCTTTATAATATTAGTATAGATAGTTAGGATAAGATAAGTATTTAATTGATGAAAAAGATTTAAAAATAAAGTAAGTAATAGGTTGTTTTGATTATATTTGTAAAAGTTACTTAGCATTTGTGCTTAACAGTGATACGTTATTCGGTATTTTTTTAAACAAAAAAAAACATTGGAAAATGATTGCCATGATTGCACTACACTGGGAGTACTCTTCATTCGAGCTTTACACTACCAATAAAAAAGGGTCGAACACAAAGTTAAATGTGAACGCTTTAAAAGAAAACTTGCTATGGTGCTCTACCTAACGTTATGAAATTTTAAGGTAAAATTAATGACATAATTAAACTATATAAGGTCTAATCATAGCTGGATTTACTTAAGTGGTATCCGTTCTAGTGTGTGACTGATTTGATAGATTTTGAAGGGGCTTGTTACCCTAATCAGAATGAAGGCCAAGAGTTTGGGGCTGGTTACCCTGTCCGTAGTCTAAAGAGGTATTTCAATCAGAATGAATGCCAAGAGTTTGGGGCTGGTTACCCTGTCCGTAGGTTGTAGAGGTATTTAAATTAGAATGAAGGCCAAGAGTTTGGGGCTGGTTACCCTGTCTGTAGGCTATAGAGGTATTTAAATCAGAATGAAGGCCAAGAGTTTCGGGCTGGTTACCCTGTCCGTAGGCTAAAGAGGAATTAAATCAGAATGAAGGCCAAGAGTTAGGGGCTGGTTACTCTGTCCGTAGGTTGGTGGGATTTGTCCGTAGGCTATAGTATTGAAGTTAGTTTGTGTACATGCATCAGAAGTACGTCTTTCAAATTCAACCGTTACAGGTTTTCCTAGTGTAGCTGGGAGATTGAAAATAGTCTGAGTGCATGCGTCACTTCTTTGTTTTAGAACTGGTGTGAACATTGGTGACAGTGTGGTTGAAGGGTCTCTAGGTTTCTGCCTAACCTCTGAGCTACATCCTCGATGGATAGCGAGATTCTGGCGCTTTCAGTCGAGTCGCTCGTCTCGGCAGTCGCCATAGAGTTTAAATTATTCACTTGTAGTGGTGCAAGTAAGGCGCGATGGTTAGAGCTGTTTTGGTTATTATTAAATGCGCGTTTTCTACATACGGATATCTGATGACCCGGCTTTTTGCAATAGTAACATGTAATTATTTTAGGAGATGTGTTTTTATAATGGTACGCAATCGCAGATTGTGGTCGGAAAGTTTCATGCGTACACGCCATTGATACTTTGATTTGAATAGGGTTTGTCGAGCGTTGTTCATCATCATCAGCCTATTAATGTCCCCACTGCTGGGGCACAGGCCTTCCCTATGGATGGAATAGGGAGATTGGGCCATGACTCACCACGCGGGCCCAGTGCGGATTGATGGTTGCTAACGACTGCAGATGCAGCCGGGACCAACGGCTTAACGTGCCTTCCGAAGCACGGAGGAGCTCGAGATAGTAATTTTTGGTCACCCATCCAATGACCGACCACCGCGAAAGTTGCTTAAGTTCAACGATCGCAGCCAAACGCACTTACCACTTGCGCCATCGAGTTCCTCTTCAGTTCTTCTCGGTCTTCGTTGTTCATTGCTCTTATTTTATTTTCTTGCATAGCAAATTTCCCTGCACAACTTAGATCTGAAAATTCTTTCATCCTAAGCATCGAACCCATGTCGGAATTCAAACCATTTATAAAAACACTCAGGGCTATTTCCTCCGCGGTATCCATTGGGCCCTTTAAGCTTGCGTCTGTTATTTCCGTGTTTAACTTTTCTATAATTTCACTCCTACATAAATCTACTCTATGAAAGTAGTCGATTAATGATGCCAAGGGTTTTGGACGCTTGCAATTCAAGCATTTGATGAGATATTGTTTTAACGTTAGAAATTTTTGATATAAGATATAATTTGAGTGTATACCAACTAGTGAATTTACGGCTATGTACATCGGGTGCACCCGTGCTAATTATTTTATTTAGGGAGTACACGAGGAGAATTTGTTCTATGTTTTCGCTAGCAAGGTCAAACGCCGCATCACCAGATCGGATAAACCGGTATATTAGATCGGGAAATGTCGTATCAAATGTAGGAATCAGATTTAATAAGGTCCCTAAATTAACCATTTTGGCGGTAGAGTTTTCACTTTTTATTTCAGCTAACATCTAACGAGTTGAATAATGTTAATTATAATGTTTTTGAATAAAAATATGATTTTACTAACGATTAAGAATAATAAATGGTAATAGAAATATAATTTGATAATATTTCAACCTGTGACTTAAATACCGATAACATTTAAGATCCAAAAAACACTTAATAAGTGGAATTAAATATTTATACATAAACATGTAGTATTTAACAAATTAATCACCAACGCTATAACAAACTCCCTAAGTGATTGCATAAAATAAAATTTGACTCGAAACAGTTAATTCCAAGTCAATTTTCACTATGTCATGTATTTAATACACAATTAGCAGTGCACTGCCCTTAAAATGTTTGATGTTTCTTTTGTCTGTGAATTTGTCCATATAAACAACATCAACGCGTTACACAATTATGCTTTTGCCACCATTTGTTTTCCAACCAACTTAAATCATCTTTTATTACAAAAATGTGAAAATAAAATTACTATATGAAGCAGATCGCACAATAAGCGATGGCGGAGGCTAAGCAACTTTTGCATGGGGTGGTCATGAGATGGGTGATCAAAAATTTATTACCTTCTTTCTCAGTGTATGTTAACTCCTAGGTCGTTATCACCAACAAATCTATAAGAATGGTGAGTTAGCATAAATAAGGTGTAAATGAACTACGGGTAATAATAAAAGAAAATGATAAAAAGCTCCAGCAGTTATTAAGACCCAATAAATAGAGGAACCAAAAACACATGGTCTTGCTACAAAATGAAAAAACCCTTTTTTCCACATTCGTGTTGGGAATCAATCAACTCTGATATCAAGAAAATTTTGTCATAAAACAATATCCAATTTAATTTACCTTATTGAAAATACATATTTCATTTTGTATTCAATGAGCTTTTTTTAAGGTCTCACATTTTTTACCCTCCATACGCTTATTAATATTAGCTGATAAATTGGTGCATGAAAGTCCAATAAACGAAGTTGCGTAAAGTTGGGTAACTCCAGCGTCGCATTTTGCTGATTTTGTAAGAGTTGTTCGGGGCGGCCAACCAACGGCGATGTTTTGCAGTTGTCAGTGGTGCGGTAGCGGCCCAGCTGCGGTTAAGCTCGGCGGTGCAAAATGCCGCAGGCGCTATTGGTTAAGCTTTTTTTTGTTATTTACTTTCAACAGTGAGTCAGCGTACCGAAAGTTCATAAGTACTAATTTCAAGTTACAAAGTGTTAACTAAAGAAACGACGAACAATATCTTTGAAGGCTGAGAATTAAATATAATTTACTGTATCCATTATTGGAATAAATGTAACATCGACCATCTTTACATATATTACATTAATTTATCTCAAAAATAATTCGAATAAACGATAAGATCTGCCGAGGTTCAACATTCAAGAATGTTGTTTATTACGAAAGTTTCCAATAAAGTCGGCCCGCTAAGGCACCCTGGGCAACGTCCTCGGATAGGAGGGCCAGCATGTACGGAAGATAAATTCGTCGTTTTGGTGCGTGCGAGAGAAGGCGCGGGCGGGAGCGCGGGGAGGCGCGGGCGGCGGCGCCGGCGCGCGGAGGCTGCTGCGCTCAGAGCACCTGCGCCCGCGCTCCGTAGCGCCGCTCGCCGCGTGCTCGAGTACCCGCGCCCGCGCCGCGCTCCGCGTCGCGACGCCGCCCACGGTATGTCAATCGCCAGTGGCGCGTCGGGGTCGGTCGGCAGCGCGTCCACCACTGCGCCGCGCCGCGCCGCTTGCTGCCGCGGTCGGTTGTATGTACCGCTGGGCCGGTTTTGTAATTTCGCTGGGCAGGCCGTGACGTCATGAGACTAGTTTGACGTGCATGCGTGACGGCCTGCACCAGGACGCCAGCGTCGCCGCCGCCCCCGACCTTATGTGCTAGTGGAATGACGTGCTCGTTTCTTTCGGCAAAAGTTTGTATGAGAGTGTGAAGAAGCTTGTGTCATCGTTGTCGGTATGGGTATTGTTTCTTAGTTGTCTTTTTAGCAGTTCATTTCATATCAAAAGTGCATAGAAGCCAGAAGTAGTTGTGTGATTCTTAAAGCTTATCAAGAGAGGCCGTATTTCTTAGTGAGTTTAATGTTAATGTATGTGATTCAACCGTACGTAAGGACCCTGATCTGAGGCACACACTAACAGCTACGAGCATGTATCTGCTGTGCGAGTAGTGTATGCAGACGAATGTTGTCCACTTAGTAAGTGTGTGTCACTCGCACACGCACACAAAGTCCGGGCTGAGCGGCGAAGCCTTTTTGTAATTTTGTTTTTCCTCTTGCTGCGAGGGAATGGTGCTCTCAAGCTTCGAATCAACAAAGACGTCATTTGTATTTTAAAAATCATATTGGATTCTGTTCAGACATTCTATTAAGAACTAATTGTATACATATACATATAAACATTAATTTGTGTTGCAATTTACATAATTAGTTATAGGAATTTTATTTAATTACAACATAATTATTTACTATAGAATATAACGCGTTGTTAGCAAAACGAAAACTAATTAGTGAATGCGGTTAACTGTTGGAATTTTCTTTTACTAGTTGTATTATTAATATTGTATTTGAACATTTTATTTGGTCAATATTGGGTACTTTGATTGTTATAAACTATATTTAGATAATAACTATTAAAATATTACTATAAATATTTACACTAGAAGTCTAAAAATATGTTAATATTTTGAAAATTCCGAGAGAACAAAGAGAAATTTAAATCGTGGAATTCTTGAATGTACAGGATTTAAGACTGGTCCCGACTAACTGACGTATCTCTTGCTCACACTAGTAGCTCAACGATATATCGTTCTTTTTTACTCTTATGGTTGAGCCTCAGCCTCTGAGTCCGAAGTTAGCCATTGAGGGCAGTTTCTCAGTATGGCTTCTGAAGCAATAATACGAGCTCATTTTTTTATGAAATGAGTATGTATGTATATGTGTGAGTTTTTATCGGCTATCCGAAGAAACTATATTATTGAAGTATCGGATCAAATAATTGCCTTCTTTCCTGCTTATCAACTATCGACTTGAAAATTCTGTCCGTTCGTGGTAACGGATGGCATGTTTTGACTGTATAGATGCAAGCGCGCATTTGAAGTATGAGCGATTAATGTTTGTGTTATGATTGTATTCTGACGAGTTTGGCAGGCACGTGGCGGGTTGGCCACAACTGGTAAGTTGGCACCGCGTGCGCCGCCGCCGCCGCCGCCACCCGCGCCGGTGCAGGTCATTCCTGAACGAGTTCGGGCGCTTCTCGCCGGGTGGGTGCCACTTGAGACTTGTTCTCTTCTAACTGGACTTAAATCAGCTGTTGGTTCGTCGTCCTTGGCTTTCATTATGACTCCATTCTAAGTTTGACCGATTTCTTCAGGGGTAGCTGTTGTGCAATGCTGCGTATATGCATAAATGTGAATTGATTGCATATTGATATCGTTATGACTTTACTATTGGATCTAAGAGATGTAGTTCTCCCGCATTTCTTCATATGAAATTAAATCAATCGTTCTCCTACGTATACCACTTCTGTGTATATGTCTCCTAAGTACCTTTACATGAGCCGCTATATAGTCAATTCGTTTCCTTTTTCTTCAAACTCGATCCTCAAATCATTCACGTAAGCAAATAGGACACGAAGGAACGAGCACGACATTCCTACCGTTTGCGTATTGTCTATGATTTATCACTGGGAAAACGGAAAACAATCGTTGTTGTATTTTTTGCAGCTTTTTATATTCGGGACTGAAGTGTAGAGCGGGGTGCTCCTAGTGGGAGCCTCCGCCGGCACAAAGACGTCGCCGATAGCGCTAAGACACGGCGTGATGTCGTCGCCACCGGGGCCTGCGTGCGACGAGCGCGCGCGCACCCCGCGCGCCGTCGTCTCCCCTGCATCCGCGCCGCGCTCGCCTGCTCCCGCTCACGCTGTGCTCGCCACTATGACGCCCGTGCAGCCCGCGCACGACTACTACCCTCACAAGGTCGAAATGGACTCGGATGATGGCTACCCTCCAGAAGCACACTCGTATCGTCACTCTCCACACGAGCTCGCCGCCTACGCCCCAGACAACAAAGTGCCCGTTCAACCTGACGTCTACGATCAAGGCATGGAGTCCATAGACGAAAAGACCCCTATTGATCTCATATATGAAGATGATAAACAGACTGTAATTTACACGACGACGGCGGATCAGAAGCGAGTTGAGATGATAAGTGGGCAGTTGGATGACGGGCAGCTCGTTAGCGGAGGAGGACAGCTGGTGGACGGCGGAGTTTCCGTGGTGGTCGGTCCGCCGGGTCAAGGCGGACAAACCGTGCTCGTCATCGCGGACCACGTAGTCGACGAGCTGGGACAAGTCATCGCTATACCAAGGTAAAATATACACACTACGTTATTACCAAAGCTATGTTTAGAAATATTTTATTTTTTAGCTTAAGTTGACCAGCGTGAATATATTGACGGGCGTAGGTATCGGTTTTATTACCTTGTTTCTTTTATAACATTTTACAAAATACCTCGTTGCCAGGTGTCTTAACTTTGCATTTTGATAGCGGGAAATTCCTATATCAAATATTTCAATAGAATAAAAGTTACTGTTTTATCTATAAATGACTTTGAGATTTAACGTAACTTGATAAGGTAAGTATTAGTGAAACATGAGTATTACACTATATTGCCATAGCAGGGCCGGATTTAGGATTGTGGAGGCCCCGGGCCACTTAGAATTTGTATGCTTGTTAACCCATCGAAATTTTGTTATCTTTTATCCTGTTGTGGAGGCCCCGGGCCACTTAGGATTTGCATGCTTGTTGGCCCATCGAAATTTTGTTATTTCTTAAGCTGTTGTGGAGGCCCCTGGGCCACAGCCCCACCTGCCCTGCTTTTAATTCGGCCCTGAGATTAATATAATCAAATAATCATGTATGTTAGATGTACAAAGTACTGTAGGCTGTAGGTAAAGGTAAAAAAGCAAAAAAAAAATATCAAAAGAAAAGATGTTTACTAGTATTTACTAGTTGGAATTTGAAAGATTTTTTTTTCCGAAATCTCTATTGAGGGGGCCCCCCGTTTGTGGAGGCCCCGGGGCTTTCGCTCCGGTTGCCCTCCCCTAAATCCGGCAGTGTGCCATAGGATTACAAAATAATGATCATAAATATTTACAACCATGAATGCTGAATTGAGGTTACCATTTACGTACTTTTTCAAATACAACATATATTTCGACAGAAAGCTAGAAAACTAATATTACATTGTAGGATCTATAGTTTATCTACTTAAATTAAGTTTGATTTGACTAAATATGACGATAATAGCAAAATACAAATCCTTCTTCAATTAAAACGAGCAGTGAATGTCATTTAAGATTAAAAACTGCCGTTTTATCTTCGTCCATTATTTTTACTTCGTTAATTAACAATTTGAGGTTTCAATGGTAACGAGGCAATTAGAGAGCATTAGGAGTCAGAGTAGTGTCTGTGTTTGAGTAATGAAGCGTTAACATGGGCGTTACAGGTGGGTAATCACACTAATATTATAAAGGCGAATGTTTGTGAGTGTGTATGTTTGTTACTTCTTCACGTCTTAACGGCTGGAGGGATTTTAATAAAATTTGGTACGGAATTAGCTGACACCCTGGATTAACACATAGGTTACATTTTACTGCGGGGAAATATCCTTAAAACCACGGGTAACGCCGCGGGCACAGCTAGTTACTTAATAAAATTCGTAATTTCCGTAATAAGGAAATTACTTATGTTTCTTCATCATGTATATAGTAAACTCCTATCTTCTTTATACAATTTAACTTAATAATAGAAAATATAATGGAAAAGAGATTGTGTATTATAATATGTATGTGCATTTTTTTTAGATATTTTAACATTATTAATAACAAAAGATGTTTCGCGCGTTGTATATACTTTCTCACTATGAAACGTGGTTAATTAACTTGTAAACGGCTTTGTCTCGTCTCGTTCGATGGTAACAAGGTATTGTTTGTGGAAGTAAGTGTTGTGTGCATATGTGGTTTGAGGAATGAGGTGTTTCTGTTTGCCGGGTGTCCAGCGTGTAACGGTTGTGCTGGCAGCGGGGCGCGTGGGCGGAGCGAGGCGCTCACCTTGAACTTGCGAGCTGCGCAAGCGCCCGCGCCGTGCCGCTCGCACCATCCGATCACCACTCTGTGCTATGATATGACCAACCGCCATTATATTCGTCTATTATATCGCCGTATTGCCACATTTGCTTTTTAAAGTTCGAACGCGCTCATAAGGTTGGCATTGTCATGAAGTTGGCTGTATACCTATATATTCGTCTCTTAATAATAATAGATAGAGCGATACACATATCGATCGCCTAATAGTATTTTCTATATCTCGAACGCATTCATCAGTTTGTCACAAAGTTGACTTAATTTATTCAAATGTTAAAACTCAGTTTTAATAAAATATTTTTCTTCTTGTCTGTAGGTATGTAAATTAGTATAATAAAACTTGATGGTAAGGTGGGTTTAAGCTTGAAGCAAACAAAGTTCAAGTCATTGTTAATTCGAAGATTTCTAAAGCACTGTAGTAACGGATAACATCATGCGGTGGTCTTACTCTTTGACCAAACATTACCTTTTATCCAAATCATGCAAGCAAATACGTCACTGTTGATTATTTTGATGTCATAGAAGTTGACAATAAACTTTTCGAGCACGCGTATGCGTGCTTTATAAACAATATAAGCATGTGTATTTATTTTCATTTTTTTGTATAGGGAATGTACCAGGTAACATCCGTGTTCAAGCCATTCGGTTGCAGAGATGTTGTTGAAACTTCCTTTAATACCAGATAATATATCTAACTGTGCATAAATCCTGTTGTTTCTCGAACGTCCATTATGAACTCTCTATCGGTATCGGAACAATGTTGAGATACACAATGTTGTCTGGGGGTCGCGCGGTCACTGTCAGCTTTCTATACGGTCCTCTGGACGATTAATGTAATCAGTTATTATATACTTACATCAAGTAGCGTTTTATCGAAGGAGTTTCTCAAGATATTAATCATAAACACTGAGTAATAGCTTTTAACAATTTTCTAATTGCAGTGTAAAAGTGCGTTATGCTATCATTCTTCGTATATAAAAATAAAATATTAACAATTTATATGCGAGCCGAGTATTTTTAGTTATTTATTTACATGATTTATTTACATGATCTGATGTAAAATTAGTTACCAATATGGAATAATGTATTAAATCTATTAATTTTAATCCATAAAACAAAAAGGACATCGGCCAAATCATATTTGAATCAAAGTTGAACGTCTAGAATAGATTTTTTACTAATATTATTAATTAAATATAAACAAACTGTATATTATAAGTTGTAATTGATACAAATAAAAGCCGAGTAAAATAAAAAAAAATCTGCATTGACTACCAATCTCATACATTTTATACCTAGTGTTGCCATTTATTTTGTATATTATTCCATCTGTATACGTCAACTGGATCGATGGACGTGGAAGTACAGTGTAGTAAATTTACATGATCTGATGTAAAATTAGTTACCAATATGGAATAATGTATTAAATCTATTAATTTTAATCCATAAAACACAAAGGACATCGGCCAAATCGTATTTGAATCAAAGTTGAACGTCTAGAATAGTTTTTTTTACTAATATTATTAATTAAATATAAACAAACTGTATATTATAAGTTATAATTGATACAAATAAAAGCCGAGTAAAACAAAAAAAAATCTGCATTGAATACCAATCTCATACATTTTATACCTAGTGTTGCCATTTATTTTGTATATTATTCCATCTGTATACGTCAACTGAATCGATATAATCGTTTTTTGTTTTATTTTTAGTCACTTAACAACCCTGGTCCTCTAGCATGACCACCGAAACGGGATATGATAAAGCGATATATCGGCATTAACAGCACGGCGGCGTTAATTTTTCAATTACATAATTTGGTTTCGATTGACATTCGAGTTCGTAATATCTTTTGAATGGAATGTTCGATTTGAATAAACTAAATAGGTACCAGCCGGATCATTGTAGAGCGACCATACCGAATGCTAGGGCGGTTTGGTAGTCATATCAAATGGCTTGTACTACAGTTTGAATTTATATTTGAAAATGGTATAATTATTATGATTATTGTGCAAAAAATCAGTTTCTGTAATGAAAAATGTAAGCAGATTACATAATAATAATGTCAAAAAAATATAACCTATTAATGTTCAAAGCAAAATACCTCTTTTGCTCGGCTTTCTTTTGTCGTAATTCTTACACGCAAAAGCTTAATAAATTACGCAGAATCTAAAGATGTGTCATTTGTTGAAAGACGCAACAATTTAATTTGAAATAAAACGATGTATGGGAGTTGACCAATGTCCGTTTAGGTATAATTACGCTTTTAAGGGCATATTGAATATGTTGTCTTATCCATTGCGTAATTAAACGTGATATCTTTTGAAAAAGGCTCAGGTTAAGTGTGATCTTAAGCCTTGGCAATAGACTAAGGTTTTTAAGCTGTTAGCAGCATAACTTATTGTTAAGAGCTACTCTCACACTTACCTATCCTATGAGCGTCTATTCAACCAATTATTGAATCTTTATTCTTTTATCAATATCGATAAAATATTACATACAATTTATATTCAAGTTTTCTTCATCTGTAATAAGAATAGACGAAACAACTCATTATAAGGTTAACTTATCATAAGATTCATTACTTTACAAATGTTTTAGTATATTTAATCTCTGAATTTGATTAATTTCGGTTTAGAGATAGAATAGACATAAACTACCTTTAGTCGCTTTAATAAAAGTTGGAAGAGGTGAAATAAGTTATTTAAATTTGTATGGTTAATAAGAAACTCTAAGTCTGTCGACCAACAAACAGTGGTTTTGATTCTGGCATAGTTCTGTAAACTTAAAATTTAATTTCACAACAGTGTAATATCCTTGAATAATACTACAAGGAGAAAAAAACACCTATTTCTGAGTTTCTTGCCGGTTCTTCTCAGTACAAGGTCTCCCGTCGTAGATTTACGAACTGATGGCGTAGCTTCCAGACTAGACTGGATGAGTGCTTGTAACAGCCTAAACTGAATAAATGATTTGAGTTTGAGTTCATCATCCTGTATACATAATGCAAAGAAGAGATTAGAGAATTATGCCAGACCCGACACCACTAGCTACATAAAAATAACAAATATAAATAGTAATGTATAAAAAATATTAAAAAATATATTTCGAAGTAATAAAAATATATAAACATCATTTTGTAGTCACGCCGCAAAGCGATATGCGGTTAGTGTCTAGTCGCCAATGCCGCGCGGTGAGGCAAAAACTTACCACGTGCGGT